AATGCCCGAGCTTTGCAGCATCTTATGCACCTCGGCCCATCATTCCCAAGCCCACTTTATTCTTGGCATTGCTGCCATAACTAAACACATCTGCAAGCCCCRGCGACCTGTGGGATATCAAGGAAGGAAGCGTTTTAGGGAAACACAGACTGGCTGGCTCAGAATATTGGCACTTGCTTTATTGCTGCTTGTTAATGGARGCCCAGTTGTGTCTCCAAGGCTTACTCAGATCAGTATCTCTTTATTACACTCTTGAGTCTGGCTCAGAACTTGTCTGGTATCTTTGTTCACCTTTATTCATCATTTTATCCATGCTATTGCTATATATWTTTTTTGCCTGCTGCATACAGATAAAGTTGATTATAAATACAACTTCCCTGTGACAAGAAATTGCTAATTCACGAGACACGTGTCAAGGGAAACTCGAGGCTTTCAAATTCGGTCTGTGTATTTTGTAGCCAGCACTTCATTTAGAAGCTGATCTACAAGGTTAGCTCCCTGATACACTCTTTGCAGAAAGAGCAAGTCCTGTTAAAGCTTACACCGGGAATCATCCCTGGTGGAGGGATAACCCCTACACTTCCCGCAAAGCTGAAGGCAGCCTAAATTCCTCATTCCTCCTAAATTCCTGCAGCAGTAGAGTACCAGAAACGGAGAACTGCCTGCTTGATGATGCTCTTTTCTTGCCCTCTCCCTTCAGTGCTGCCCTGTGCAATGACAGCGAGGGCAGAGGACGGATGCTGCAGAGCCTGCGCCGTGACGCCGGCTCTCCCCTCCTGTGTGCATCCTGCTGCTCTCCAAGGAGACACATCCCTGACCTTCACACCGGCAGGGATCGCATCCTGCACTGTGGTCCCGGCTCTTGGAATTGCAGGCCAGCGGTTCAAAAAGGGGCTGCTTTGAGAAAAGTGGAAAATAAGGAAAAGCAGAACAAACGCAGCAAAAAGCTGCCTTAGCACTTGCTGTGAACCAACMCTTGCTGCTTATAAATGGGATTCCTTAGCTGGGCTGCAGCACTTGCAGCTGAAGGGAAAGGCTCCCTCCAACCTGCCACAGAGATAAGATACAGACCTTCAGAAATTACTGTGGGCAGGGGAGAGGATATCAAGTGTAGAATTGGAATAGGACAAGAAGAGGTGAAAGTGGCAGAGAAAAATTATAAGTGATGTTTATGGCACGATACAAAACCAAGTTAAAGGCTGGCTTTCTTTTTGTTTTCCCCCCATCCCTAACTCTAAAAGGATATGATAAATACAGCGGTTGTTCCTAGGTTACTTTGGAGTCAAACTGAGATCATTTCTTAAATAAATCACCACTTTTTTTGGTGAAGAGGGGAAGAGTCTGCAGGCATGGATGAAGATGCAGCAGAAATCAGCGAGTGGTCCTATCCAAGGATGGTTTGCTGAAAGCACCCACCGCTTTCCTCTTTTTGCCACATTTTCCCAGTGGGAGCCAGCACACGTGAGACAGGTTAGGAACTGTTGTTCTCCAGCAAAAACAAGCCAGGGAAGGGTGGCAGACCTTGCTCGGCAGCCCCTGAATGGTGTCCAGCTCTGCACATCCCCAAACACCTCCCTGTGCCTGGTCAGCACAGCTTGTTGTCCCCAGAGGTAGGAGGATGGGGCAATGCCCAGGGAGCCCAGGAGCTCATGGGGCCCCAAGGAGGTGAAGAAGGACAAAAGGGAAAGGTCCCACCACTGTGGAACAACAGCAGGGACCAGGTTTGGATCGTCACAAGAAGCTGCACCAAGCCGGGAGGAAGGTATTGGAGATCCATGACTGCCCGTAATGCTTGAAGCCTGTCTTCTTCTTTCCRGATCTTGCCTTCATCTTTCCCTATTTATATAAAATCTGAATTTATTCTGGGGAAAGTCTGCTTAAATGGAAAAGAAAGGCAGTGGGAAGATCTGTAGAGATTTGTTTAGAGCTTTAAACCAGCAATTATCATAGAAAACACGATTTTGGTAGTATTACAGAAATAGATCTAGTTAAATTACRGGATTGCATTCAAAAGTGATGGTGTAGGAAGAAGAAAAATTTAGCTCCCCAACTGTGTTACCATTTTTACAATTCATGTGCCTTGCTTTTGCAGAGTGATAGAAATTGCAGGATAGTGAGTAATATTATACCCCGCACATAATGAAACCTTCTTCAACGTGATCGAGCTGAGACTGACATGCAACCTAAATATGTGCATACTTAAACACATTCACCTTTCCTTTGTGTTTCAGCAAAAGAGAAATGATATTACAATATAAAACAGAAACCAAAAAGAAAGGAAGAGATTATTCCGGTATTGACAGAGGGCAAAGTATAATAATAGGATGGAGACCAGTCGTGAATCTAATGCACCAGACACAATTACTAGGATTGTCTCTCTCCTGCCTTCTCTCCCAGGCTCCAGGAGAAGGAAGAATCAATTAGCTCTCAACAGGCTGTGACCTTGAAGGATATAGCTTTAAGGGGAATATGCTGAGTAAGATGGAACAGAGAAAAGGATTCGGAAACTCATGGAATGGCCTGGTTTAGGGGGGATATATCAGTCACAGAATATGAGATGTGACATTTCTTTCCCAGTTCAGGATTAAAAAACGGAACAAAACAACAACCAAAAAAAAAAAAAAAAAAAAAAAAGAAAAACCACCCCAAAAAGAAAACCAGCTCAAAAGAGTCTTTCTGGGAACAAATTGCCTTTCTCTGCCTGAAATGGAAAAAAAAGGACGTTGAAAGGGACAATCCTATTTGCAGATGCTACTTCCCAAGGCATCTCTCCCAGAATTTTATAGTCGTCAAAAGCATTCATAAAAAGAAGTTATCACTGATGCAATTTGTCAACCTCTCCAACATACAAATCTTGCTGTACATAAAATGTAAGGATGTCTTTGAAATGCAGCTGCTTCAAAACCCCAAGRCAGTGCTTTAGAGCTGTCCAAAAAGTTCTTTTTGTGTCTCTCTCAATTCCTAGGCAGATCTTTTTGCCATGCACTTTTCCAGCTACATTTCTTACATTTCCACGAAACTGCGGCCTTTTTGCTATAGCCATAATTACTTACTATTTGTTAGAATAATTACATTCCACAGGGCTGCCTCACCCAGATCAAATCAAACTCAACATACTGCCAGTTCCTCCTCTCCTTCAGTCCACATCTATATGGAAATCAGATGCTTTAAAACACTTAGGAGACATTTATCTTAAGAAAATAAGCCCACAGAGTGAAAAAAAAAAAAAAAAGTCAGTCCAATCACTTAATTTCTGGACACCCGCGTATTGCCCAGATGTGCGCAGATAATAATGTAGATAACAGCTTTTTTTTTTTTTTTTTTTTGGTCCATGTCTGCTCCAAAGAATCTTTTTTCCCCTTGATTTACTTCACAGAAGAAATTATCAGGTGATGACACAGGTTTGACTCTCACGCAGAAATTCAAAGGGGTGAAGCTGGTCCTGACATAAAAAGCTCTTGGATCTTTATTCCTCTTGTAGGAAAGTAGCAGTTTTGGCTAGATGGTGTTCCCTGGCCACCTTATGAAGTAAAAAGAGGTAACATTTGTTTTATTTTCATGCCACTTAAGGTATTCGCACTCCATAAGAATTTTCTGCATTGCTATTAGAAGAAATCACTTAGTATAATTCTGTATAACTGCTAAGCTGGTTAAATGTCCCAGTAATTCAAGTCATTGCTTACTTTACACAGACAAGAAACCCTGTCATTTAAGTGCACAGTATATTACCCTATCAGACTCTGTCCCTCAAATAAATTATTTTTAATCCAGTAGTCACTAGTCATACTCATTACTTAGGCAAAAAGGCAGCAGGGCTTTTATAGGAATATCTAAAAATTAATTCCAGTGAGACTGGGATAACTTCCAACAGTGAGCCGTTCAGGACAGACTCTCAGCAGGAAGAATCTCCACCAAAATCCATGTAGCATGGGCACATTTTCAGCAGCAAAGCAGCTAGCCCCACATATCCTATCTGATCTAATTGCTGCGTATCCACACTAAGCATGATCCTCGTGGGGCTAAGCTCAGCTGCAAACTTCCAGCGCTCCAGGGTGAGCCCTGGCCTGGCTTTCCTGCATTACAGGAAAGGCACASGGAGGAAGAAATGAGATGGTGTCCAGCAAGGCGATCGATCGGGAACCAAGTTCTCCTCCCGGCCGCTGCAGACTCCAGTGGGAAAGCCCAGCCCCGTGCTCTTGCACAACGCCGCGCTGCCCTCCCTTTTACACAATTTTACACAATTTGCTGCAGTTGTGCACAGCTCAGGAGCTGCGAGAATGACCTGCTCCGGAGGTGACAGGCTGAAATGCTGAATGCCAAAGAAATGACACTTGAGCAATGCGGTGGTCTGAGGCTTTGCAATGGCTACCAGGAAAATAACCCAGGTGCCCTGAGTGCTTTTTCTTTCAAGGTTGAGTAGAGGCTCCTTTGGAAGGGAAAATGATCCGTCCAGCCCTTTCCCGGGCAGGAGCACATTCCTGAAAGGACCCAGTACAGTCAACCAGGCACTGTCTGAGGAAAAAGTTTAACAGGATTCAGCTCCTAAGAGAGGGGAAAAACACAAAGAAACGCATGCTCTACTCCAAAGAGAAAGGGGAAGATCACAAACTAACTACTGAATTAATAATCCCCAGCCTCCAGCTGCTTCAGACACAGTGCTGCTCGCTCCCATTGCTCTCCCTGGCTGTTCCAGAAGGATGACAGGGACGTTTGCCAGCTGTACCCTTTGGGAGGAGGTAGCAGAAGTGCTCTGCGGGCAAAGTGAAGGAAATGAAGGCACACGAAGATGCGGAGCGGGACRCAACCACGTTCGCAAGAGAGACCATCGGGCGGGTGGAGGCACCGGGCAAAGCCCAGCCTGTGGGCGCAGAGCTGGTGCTGGCACCGCCTCACGAAGCCCTTGTCGTGGCCACAGACACCGCAGGGGCGCTCAGCGGCGCTCCCCCTTTACTTGCTGTCACTGTGGGAGGGCAAATAACGCAGCACACGGTTGTACTTACACAGCTTGGGAGCGGTTTGGAGGCTGGTCTCGGTGGCCTGCGCGCGGGACGCGGCGGTGGGCGCCGGGGCGCGCGGCGGCGGCAGCGACGGCGCGGCCGAGGATGAGGATGATGATGAGGAGGAGGATGAGGACGAGGGCCAGCCTGCGTGCAGGATGCGGCCGTAGAGCGTGGGCTGCGGGGAGGGCTCCAGGGGCACTGCTGGGGTACCTGCGGGCGCCGTGTCGGCCTCCTTGCCCCCACTCGTGGGCACGGGAGACGCGTGCGCCTCCGAGGGCACCCAGGCGGGCAGCGCCGTGGCCTCGGCGCCACGCTGCGCATCCTGCCCCATCCTGCCCGGCTCGAGGTGCGTGGGCGAGTCATACTCGAAGATCTTGTCCACAAAGACCCACTTGAGGCCGGCGATGCAGAGGCAGAGGCTGAGCAGGCAGGCGAGGATGGGCGCGATGCAGATCTTCTCCGAGTTGAGGCAGCCCTTGAGGCGCTCGGCCTCCAGGCACACGCAGCACGTCGCGGCGAGGCCCGCGGCGCCCCGCGCGCCGCCCGCCTCCTGCCCGCGGCCGCCCGGCATGTCCTCCTCGGACGGGAGCCCCTCGAGGGACGCGGCGGGCCGCAGCTGAGCCGAGGGGCTGGGGAAGGTGTCGGCGGCGACTTCGGACATGTCTGAGCAAGCCGAGGAGCTCACCTCCGAAAGGCCTTAGCGCTAGCACAGTCCATTAACTGTGAGGCACGGTTGTGAGGGGGGAGGGTGGGAAAAAAGGAGGAGAAAAAGGTGGGTGGGGGGGGAAAGATGGTAGTAATAGTCACACGGCTGTGGAAAAAAAAAAAATCCTGGGAGATGGGGAGGGTGGGAGAGAGCCGCGCGTGGCGGGTGGGCAGGGAMCCCTCGGTGTGCCGCGTGGCTCCCACGCTTGCCGCTCACTATGTGCTCAAGTCCCGCTGCCCGGCCACTTTTATAATTCCTCGGGCGCCGCTCGAGCGATGCCAGCTCCTCCGAGGGTGGGAATAGGCATAGACATCCCCCCCCAACACGCGCACACACCCCCCAAAGGCCAACAGAACGACCGAAAAGAAAAAAAAAAAAAAAATGGGAAGGGGGGGGAAACAGAGGGCAAGCCGGGGGGAAGCGGTGCACCTGGAGGCGCGGAGGAGCTCGCGCGGGGCGAGCCGGGCGAAAGGCGACGCTCTCACCTGGGGCGCGTGCGGCGGGCGCCGTGCGGGGCGAGCGGAACCGCGGTGTCGCGGGGCGGCGGCGGCGGGGCTGGCAGCGGCGGCGGGGACGAGCATCCTGCCGCCCCGGCGCGGCGGTGACGGCGCTGGCTGCATCACTGCGGCGCAGCAGGTGCCTGCCGGGCCGGCGGCATCGCGGCCCGCGGCATCCTCGCCACGCAGACGGGGCGGMGGGTGCCGGCCGGGCTCTGCCCTCCCTCTTTGTCCTCCCCGGAGGGAGCCGCTCGCTGCCTCGATCACTTTGCTCCTTCCCACCCCCTCCCCGCGCCTTTGGCCCCCCTCGGCAGCCGGCTCCTTCCTCCCCTTCCCCACCCCCCAGGGCTGCTCCGCGCCCGGCGGCAGCGCAGGACCAGCCAGCGACTTCCTATTTTATCCAATTAGGGAGGGATGCAGGCGGTGGATGCGCGGGGAGGGAGCCGCGCGCCCGGCCCCGCCAGCCTCCGCATCCGCGGCGAGCGCGGGGCGCGCTCCCAGCCGCTCCCCGGGGCTGCGATTCCCKCGGGAATCGCGCGCTTCCCGACGGCTCTTCCTGCCTGCCCGGCACCTGCAGGCGCCCACGAGCCCCCTCCTCGCAAGTTTGCACCGCTCAGGGTGCATCATAGATCAGGTCATAGGATGGGGGAAAAATCGTCATTCCCCTAGCAGGTGAAGTTATTACAGAGAGGGCTGCAAGGTTTGCAGCTTTTTTTTTTTTTTTTTTTTTTTTTTAACATATTTTCCAGCCCCCCTCTCCAAGTTCCTAAGAAACCCCACAAAATCTGAAAGAAAACCCTTCACAATAAACCCAGCATACTCCTTCAGCCTACTTCATGCTGCTAACACACAAGAAAACAGTGCCTATGTCCTCATTTCGTATTAAAAAAAAATAAAGCCCGAAACAATTTCAAAAACAAGCTTCCACTTTGCCCATCGTTCTCCATCACTAGCAGTATCTCTAGCACTGGCTCTGTTTTACACTCTGACAGTGTAAAACAAAGGTAAATCACTACGGAGGCTAGTTCAGAACCAGCTCTGTCCCCATCCCTCCTGCCTGCCACAAAACAATACATTTATGTGACAATACAGACATATGCACTTAATGGAGAGGGGCTTGCAACGCGTTTTCCTGATCTGTGAACCTGGTGAGAACCTTTTCGTCAAAGCTTTGGCAGCATAAAGCCCCTTTTTCCCCCAGTGTAATAGTCTGCAGAAGGCATAAAAGAACAAAGAGTTGAGCACTTCACATTGCCCTGTTTTCATTTCTGCTRGTGCTTTATTTGGGTACCGAAAAGGTGATTTCCTTGGTATTTGCGTGTTTTTGGACATGCACCTGTCTCCTCCTGCCTSCTCTCCAGCCCTTCACGCCCCCTCCCCAACTATTCACAAAGATCTCCATGGGAACATCAGAAACACCGGTATAAGAGAAGGTTTACCAAAAACCTCCCAAAATCCTATAGCGGCATCAGGCAGCTTCCTCTGCCGAGGGCTAATTGATGAGCTCCTAATCCCAAAGCTTCCCGCAGGGCTGCAGCAGCCAGACGAAGCCATGGGGATGCTCCTGCGTTAGAGATCTCACTTTACGGCCCAGCCGGCGATAACCCTCTCCGCGGGAGCATATAGGGATAAATCATCCTAGGACCATGGGGGTGCCTGCTCCGCGGGCCAGTGGCTCGATCAGCAGCATCCTGCAGGGCAAGCAGCTTGCAGGATGCGCTTTCCACCCGTCTCGGGACATATTTCATGGAGCAGCATGGAGCAGCGGCGGCCGTGACGGCCGGCGGATGCAAGCAAGCGGGTTTCTAGGGAGATGTGCCYTTTATTAAATTAACCGGTGGGGCCGGGGAGAGCAGACATGCTTCCATGCACGCCGGTTCCTCCTCAGGTGTGACGCTGGCGCAGCGCTCCGCGGGACCGGCTGCGAGCGCAGCACCAGCTGGGAATATTCTCTTCACGGYGCGGATGGGAGGCTGCGGCATCGGAGTGATCCGCACGAGCCTTCTCAGGCATCTTGCCTCGCTCAGCCACGTCTAATTTTTTAACCATCCTGCTTCCCGTCAGGCGATTTCCCTTGCTGATGCTGCTCTGAGCAGCTTCTGCAGCACTTTAACCCGCCGCCCAGCCTGTGTTTTCCTGTCTCTGCCCTCCTAGGCGAAAGTCCTGCCTTTAATTCTTTTGAACTTTTCCCGTGACCTGCGTTGCTCTTCCCTTCTCACTGCCACCCTCCGTATTACGCTTTTTTCGCTGTGCTCCTGTCTTTGCGGAGCCAGGCACCTCCTGCTGCCTGCCTCGGTTTTCCCTGCACCTGCCGGGCTGGATGCCTGTTCCCGGCGCAGCGCCATCCCCTCCGGCCGCCGCATTGCTCCGGGGCTGGCTCCCGTCCAGGCTGCAGCGCCGGCGGCTGCCTTCAGCGCCCTCCTCCTCCTCCTCCTCCTCCTCCTCCTCCAGTGAGAGCTGCGGCGCTGGATGCAAGGACAACTCACTGCTCTTAGGGATCTTTCCTCCTTCACAATGCAATTTTTTAAAGGAAACAGGGGGGAGTGTGTCCTCGCAGGTGCAAAATGTCAATTAGATAGCCCGCTGGTGGCCAGTTCTAAGATAAGACTAGTTCTAAGATAAGACAGAAAGTGCACCTTTTTKTAATTAGGTCCCTGTGCAAAAATGTCGTTCTGGTTATTATGTGGCTTGGGCCCCTCTGGCATAAAGGAGACAGGGGTGTGATCTGATGTTAATGAAGCTAACGAGACCTGGGCTCGCAACAGACTGAAACACCGAGGTTTGCAAAATATAACTTGATATTCTGCAGTGCTTTTGCACATGAGGTCAGGGGTTGCTTCGCCAAGTTCCATTTTCCCCAAAGCCCCAAGGCAAAAATCAGCATTGATCGCCAGTCTACCCTGAGGATGAGCAAGCTGTACCCATTCCACTGGTTTTATGGATTGTAAGAGGTTGATTTCATATTACCATGCTCCGGAGCACTGTTCTCTGCAGCCAGCCACAGAGATACAGACTTATTTCTGAATGAGGCGTAAATAGACATGCAATCATAAATGAGAACATCCTGGAAACGAGAGCAGCAAGTACCACTATGCTCAGCTGACCATTGTGCTCAGCCACATCACAGCTAGACCAAACCTGCTGCATGTTGTGGAAATCAGGCCTTGAAAGTCCCTCACCTTGAAGCCACTGGATTTCAAACATTTATCTGCTTTAACTAAAGCCACCATAATTCACAAATGGATTCTATTGCAAGAATTGGATTATTGCAAGAACCAGGGCCTTAGAAAATTGCTTTTTTTTTATATATATCATGGGTGCTTACTTGCTCTACATGGGCCTGCTGAAACACAGCTTCAGAAAGGATGCTCAGTGGACCACCAGCCCAGTCTTCCCTCCCCAGCATTGTCTTCCCTTGAGAAGACCTCCTTCCAAAACAAGCATCAATATCAACTGCTCCATCATGCGTTCAGCTGCACTCCCTTTTCCTCATACATTGAGAAATTATAAGCAGTGCAACCAAGAAGCCAAAAAGAAAAAAAAAAGTGCACATTCATTAATAAGAGATTGATGAGGAAGATAAAAGGATCTCTTCTTATTGATTGCAGGCACTTTCTTCAAATTAAATAAGTGCACCATTTAAAGATGGGAGGCGATCAAAAGCGAGTGAGCAGCCCAGCAAGCCACATCACTGCCAGCAGTTGTGGTGTGGGAAGAGTTGGCTGTCACACATGTGGCGCAAAAAAGATTCATTTATTCCTCCTTTTGATGCTTCACCAGCCTCCACTTCTTCATTTGTCTCCCTTGGAACAGAGCCAGCATTCCCTGCTTTCGAATCCTTCCAAAAGCCTATATTAAAAATCCCATCTCTCAGCTCAAATGGCACGAGGAGAAAACTTCATTTTGCTTCTCCACTGGTCCTTTCACTGGAGCTGCAAATGCTAAAATGTGACAAGCTGTCACTCAAGCCCTCCTTCATTTTCCTCCTGATGGAAAGCAAACAGCTTTTATATGATACTGTYATTATTATGCCTCTGTCCACACACACTCTCTTTTTTAAATTTGTCCTGAAGTTATTCTACAGAAAGCATGCCAGAGTCATCCCGTCAGAAGCATGCTTTCTGGGAAGATTTGGAACACACAATACAAGTTTCAGTGTATGTGAGAAGTTTACATTTGAGAGATCACAAGCTTGCTTCCATGGCAGAAGTTTTTGTATTTTCAACCTAGATACAAATTTACACCACCCTTTTTTTGCCAGGAACTAATTCCCTATAAATGCAATAGCTGTCGCTTACAAAAAAAAAAGAAAAAAAAAAAAGAAAAAAAAGTGATTCGAAAAAAGCAGTGCAACTACAATGGACTTTCAAGAGGTGTTTATCCTTCAAGCAGCAGCCACCAGTAATTGAAACTGAAGGCTGCCATGAAGGAGGCTGCTGTGGCAGGGGAGCTGAAAGC